TCATCACGGTGGCTAGGAGATGTTAACTACCTCGCCTGGTATACAGGAGGTCGTGCAGTTAGATTCCGACCCTGACACCTGCTGCTGTATATTTGGAGTTTGCGGTGTCCCTCTCATCATCATCATCACGGTGGCTAGGAGATGTTAACTACCTCGCCTGGTGTACAGGAGGTCGTGCAGTTAGATTCCGACCCTGACGCCTGATGCTGTATATTTGGAGTTTGCGTGTCTCTCTCTCTCATCATCATCAGGTTGGCTAGGTGTTAACTACTTCGCCAAACACTCTAAACGCGTGACGTTGATGATTAATTTGGAGAGAAAACCCGGAGGACCCGGAGAAAAATCCACGCCACCACGGGTAGAAAGAGAGAGACACGCAAACTCCAAGTATACAGCAGGCGTCCGGCTCGGGATCGAACCCACGACCTCCTGTACACCAGGCGAGGTAGTTAACATCTCATCACGGAGAGAGAGAGAGACACGCAAACTCCAAGTATACAGCAGGCGGTCAGGCTCGGGATCGAACCCACGACCTCCTGTACACCAGGCGAGGTAGTTAACATCTCCTAGCCAGCGTGTCTACCTGGGGCCACTGGGTAGAGCCACCCACTCACCCCCAAGCTCGTGGCTTTCTCGGCCCTTCGCTTAGAAGGCTGCCCTCTCTCCCCGACCTCTGCCACGTTCAAGTGTGAACCCTTGAAAAACGAGAGAGCGAGAGAGAGAGCGAGAGAGAGACCGAGTGGCAGGCAGTGATTTCTCGTGAGATTTTCTCGCCCTTGCTGATCGCGTTCTTAAGGAGTCGCGGTGGGGGCCACTCGCTGTGGTTTTTTTGTTTTGCTCGCACGCACAAAGGTAAAGGAGCCCCCCCCCCCCCACCACGGTATAGCCTTGACCAGACTGTAGGGGCAAGTGCCTGTCAGCGAGCACCGGTGAAGGCCGACACGAGGGGGTTCCGGCCTTCACCGGCACCACGCCCGGCCGCCTTTGTCTCTCCCCGCCCCCCCCAGTGGCGATGTTTACTACACACACCGCACCGGGTGCTCAGTTGAGGCCGAGTCGACCTAGGCGAGGGCCCAGGGCCGGTGCAGATAATCGCTGTCGCTGGTGTTGGTGGCCGTGAGCGGGAGTCGAACTTGGGCCGCCGAGTTGGTAGGGAGTTGCGCTCAAACACAAAGCCAGGGGGAACGGTCAGTAACACATGGGTAGTGTCCACCCTGGGTAGTGTCCACCCTGGGCAGTGTCCACCATAGGGTAGTGTCCACCATGGGTAGTGTCCACCATGGGTAGTGTCCACCCTGGGTAGTGTCCACCATAGGGTAGTGTCCACCATGGGTAGTGTCCACCATGGGTAGTGTCCACGATGTTCAGTGTCCACCATGGGTAGTGTCCACCCTGGGTAGTGTCCACCCTGGGTAGTGTCCACCCTGGGTAGTGTCCACCCTGGATAGTGTCTACCCTGGGCAGTGTCCACCATGAGTAGTGTCCACCCTGGGTAGTGTCCACCCTGGGTAGTGTCCACCATGGGTAGTGTCCACCATGGGTAGTGTCCAGCCTGGGTAGTGTCCACCCTGGGTATTGTCTACCATGGGTAGTTTCCACCCTGGGTAGTGTCTACCATGGGTAGTTTCTACCCTGGGTAGTGTCCACCGCGGGGCAGTGTCCACCCTGGGTAGTGTCCACCATGAGTAGTGTCCCCCATGCGTATGGGGCTTAGCGTACATCCCTCTATGGTATAAACACACTTCTGTAGATGTGCCATTGCGTACATTTTTTTTCACAAACGATATTTTCTCTCAAACATATCCAGTTAATATGTCAACGTTGCCCGGACGTTGGGCCCAACATTCCATGCTTTTTGGGATACTTCGTGACAATTTCCCCCCACCCACCCCCCTCCAACATAAGCCACCACGACGACCTTTGCCATCGTACGGATTTCAAATCGATAAAAAAAAAATTATTCAAGAAAACAAATCGCTGGCGTTCATCATCCCCGCTTCGTACCGACGAAAAGTGTTCGGGCCCCACGGCTCAGAGGAGCTACAGGGAGAGAGAGAAAGAGGTGGAAGAGAGCTCTGCATGCAGCTTTGAGCTACCGTCGGAGGCCGTAGGAGCGCGAGAAGGGCTGGGTGCAGATGCAGCACTTGTCGTAGTTAAAAAAAATATGTACATAGAAAACATAGGGGGAACATAGACATGGAGTAGGGAGAGGAGAGGGGGTAGAGCGAGAGAGTGAGCGAGAGAGTGAGCGAGAGATCGATCGAGAGAGTGAGCGAGAGAGTGAGCGAGAGAGTGAGCGAGAGAGTGAGCGAGTGAGCGAGAGAGTGAGCGAGCGAGTGAGCGAGGGGTGGGGGTTTACATAAAGCAAAGTTATTATTTAAAAGAAAAATTACGAAATAATGAACGAAGCAAAGTGCCGACTACACCAAGCATCTTCTTGCTTCCACTGATCGTAAAAAAATAAAGAGAGAGAGGGAAGGGGTAAGAAAAATGAGCAGAGCTTGAAATCTTTCGTGAAATCTTTCATTTTAACAGGGGGGGGGGGGGGCACATAAAGCAAAGCTTAACAAGTGGCAGGCTTTCGCGACCAATATTATTCATAATCAACGTTTTTGGGTTTAGATCGCGTTAAATTGTAAATCTTGTGGTAAGCATTTACACCATTGTAACCTCATTTGCCAGTAAAAAATATGATAATTGGTTTTTTACCCTTCTATCTGGCAACAAAACTGACACCTCCTTGTAAAAAAGGTGTCAGTTTTGTTGCCAGATAGAAGCGTTAAAAAACAATTATCAAATGTTGTGGTTTCACGCTTCAACACACCGGTGGGCTAAAGCAGTGAACTATTTGTCTTTTGTCAACGTGACATTTTTTTACTGATTGGCCGTGTCGGGTGGTGGAGGGTTACGACACATTTAAAAATAACGCGATCTAAACCTAAAAACGTTGATTATGAATAAAGCAAAGCATTGAGAAAAAAACAAAAAAACTAAAATGATGAACGAAGCAAAGTGCCGACTACACCGAGCATCTTCTTGTTTCCACTGATCGTACAAAAAGAGAGAGAGAGAGATGAGGTAGTGAGGGTCAGGATTGACGACAGCGGAGACTTCAAATAACAATACATTCTGAGCCACTCTTCGTTGAACAGCGGGCGCGTGCGTGCAGTTTTGACACCCCCACACATACCTTCATCTGTGTCCGTTTTTGTGAAAAGATAGTGGCAAGTTTTGGATTTTGTAAGATTGGTCCGGTTTTTTTATATCCTCTGGTTGCGTGAAAAGGTAAAAGATGCGGCCCCGATGTTTAAAGTCCCACGTGGTGGCCTCTCTCACCCACTCACTCTCACTCACTCATTCTCTCCCTCTCACTCACTCTCACTCACTCATTCTCTCCCTCTCACTCACTCTCACTCACTCATTCTCTCCCTCACACTCACTCACTCACTATCTCACTCTCTCACTCATTCTCTCCCTCTCACTCACTCACTCTCTCCCTCTCACTCACTCATTCTCTCACTCACTCTCACTCACTCACTCATTCTCTCCCTCTCACTCACTCTCACTCACTCTCTCACTCACTCTCTCCCTTTCACTCACTCACTCATTCTCTCCCTCTCACTCACTCTCTCCCTCCCCACTCACTCACTCTCTTACTCACTCTCACTCTCTCCTTCACTCACTCACTCTCTCACTCACTCACTCACTCTCTCACTCACTCACTCACTCTCACTCTCTCCTTCACTCACTCTCTCACTCTCTCCCTCACTCACTCACTCACTCTCTTACTCTCTCCCTCACTCACTCACTCTCTTACTCACTCTCTCACTCATTCTCGCCCTCACTCTCACTCACTCACTCTCTCACTCACTCACTCTCTTACTCACTCTCTCACTCTCACTCACTCACTCTCTCCATCACTCACTCTCACACTCACTCATTCTCTCACTCACTCATTCTCTCACTCACTCATTCTCTCACTCACTCATTCTCTCACTCATTCCCTCACTCACTGATGACATTTCTAACCCAATCTGCACACCGCTGCGTTCGAGGCCGACTCGGACCTCGGCGGTTCCCCAGGCCTCAGTCACACAGCCGCTGGCGGTGGCGGTGGCCGTGAGCAGGGATCGAACTCGGGTCACACACGGGTCCGTGGTGCAGGGCGCAGAAAAATTTGCCCTGGTCAGGAGTCGAACCCAGGGGAAGCCCTTCTTGCCCCGAGGCACGACGAGTGTTATAACACTGCGCCTTATCACGACACCCTCCTGGTCGTGCAAAATTAGACGGATGCGCCAGCCACAACCGACGTAGATCGTCGCCGTCGATTTCGACGCGAATATCTGATGCGTTGATCCGATCGCGCAGCCATCTATCACCCCGCGCTGCATATCGCGATGAAGCCGCTTCCGTTGGGCTTATCATTTGTGATGGGCAGGTGGCTTGTGAAAAGAATATTAAATACGTAATATTTTTAAAAAAACTTTTTTTAAAAACACGCTTTAATGAAATGTACCGTACTAGTAATGGAAGAACTCCACGACTCCAGGAAGTGGCCCCGAGGCTTGCCATAACGTAAGGAGCCTTGGCCAATTACAGCCAACGTCAGTTGAGCGTGGACAATTAGACCCAAGCCGAAACATAACATATAAAATAGATTGTTTAACATTTTTTTTATGATAGAAGAAAATTTGAAAAAAATTTATTGCCGTAATTTTCACACCTTATGACGATTGCTTGTGTTGCAGTCGAAACGTCGTGAGAATTTTATTGTTTTATATTTTTATTATTTTATTGTTTCCCTTCGACGTGACCTTACCGAAAGAACCAAGAAAATATTTTTATTTTCTAAAGCACCCCGTACTTTTTTTTTTTTTACATATTTTATCTTTTGGCTGCGGTAAAAAAATCACCGCCGATCCGAACCAAACATCCCGATTACTGATTCCGTCTCCACGTTCGCCTTGTCCCCCCGCCCCCCCTCTCTCTCCGTGCACAAGTCATCACCCTGTGCTGCATCTTCAAGTGCCGCATCCCGCGCACCAAGAAGGAGATCGAGGCGCGCTACCACCAGCGGCAGGCGGCGAAGAAATACGCAAACAACCTGGAGAAGGTGCCTCCTCTCAGCGCCCTCACGGAGACCCCCGGTAAGGTGGGGGGGAGGTGGTGGGGGGGGGGGAGGTGGGGGGGTGGTGGGAGGTGGTGGGGGGGAGGTGGGGGGGGCGGTGGGAGGTGGTGGGGGGGGGCGGTGGGAGGGGCGATGGGGGGTGGTGGGGGGTGGTGGGGGGTGGTGGGGGGGGCGGTGAGGGGGGCGGTGGGGGGGGCGGTGGGGGGGGGGCGGTGGGGAGAGGTGGGGGGCGGTGGGGGGGGCGGTGGGGAGAGGTGGGGGGCGGTGGTGGGGACGGTGGGGGGGGAGGTGGGGGGGAGGTGGGGGGTGGTGGGGGGCGGTGGGGGGACGGTGGGGGGGCGGTGGGGGGGCGGGGCGGTCGGCAACGGTGTAAATGTGCAGGCCCCCCCCGAAACATCCAGACTTAGCTGCCGAATGTCCACTGTCCTGTGTCATCAGGGGGGGTCGGGGGGGGTGTCTTGCCCCCCCCCCGCGCCCCCCCGCCCCCCTCGCCCACCCACCCCGTCGCCATCCCCGTGGTGGCCACAGCTACAAGTTGGGGGGGGGGGGCCCCCTCTTGACAATCACCACGAGATTTGTTTTCAACACCAAGTGTCAGAACAGTGGTGATTCTGAACTTTCACTGCAGCCTTGCAACCCCTTTGGTTCTCCGTCGTGAACTTATTTAAGTTTGTACAACGTTACTAACCACGCCGGGTGTTGATGAAACAAAGCGAAGTTGTAACTCGCGTGCACGGCACTCAATTTGTGTTCCCGATGATTTACCTTCGAGAAGAAAAAAAAATAAAGGGGGGCATCTCGCACCCCCAGGGCGAACACCTCCAGCTTTTGAACCACCGATATAAAATAACAACAACAACAGCAGCAGCAGCAACAACAACGACGATGCGATTAGAGCAAGATGAAGCCGCGATGTAGAAACAGCCTCCAGGGCGCAAGAGACAAATTACAACATTGACGATTGGCGCACATCGAGTTGATAACGTCGCTGATAACCTCATCATCAGGGCGGGGTGGGGGGGAGGGGGTGTCCCTAGGCTCCGATTAGCACGGTCGGATACGTGCCGCCGTGCGAAAGGCGCTCGACACACACATGCACACGTGTGTAGGGGCATCGGAATGATGCGATTATGCGAGGTACTTTTAAGCGCTGCGGCAATGTAAGCGCCTAAAAACACACCGATTAAGCCTCTTGCTCCCACGTTTTGCAGCGTTCCATCGATTCGCACCGAGCGCTTCGTTCACAGCCGTCAAATTGTCTCACTTTCTCACACGGAGGAGGCTTATTTCGCGAACAATGTCATCCATGATTCAGGTTTTTTTTTTGGAAGTAGATCGCATAAATATACAAATGTGTCGTTAAAACCCTCCACCACCCGTCGTTAATCTGGCTGTCGCCTGATGAAGCTGGTTGTAATTACTGGCGAAACGTCGAACTCGGATTGTAAATGTTGTGGCTTGGCTCTCCGACACGGTTAGTGCTGTACTAGTATACTACACTTTACACTACTATACACGACACTATACACTACTATACACTATACACTACTATACACTACTATACACGACACTATACACTACACCACTATACACTACACACTACACTACACTACTATACACTATACACTACACTACACTATACACTACACTACTATACACTACACTACTATACACTAAACTAAACACTACTATACACTAATATACACTACACTATACACGACTGCACTGTACACTACACTATACAAGGCTACACTATACACTACACTATACACACTAGTGCTGTACTAGTGACGAATTGGCCACGTTCTGTTTACGTGACAACCCCTTACTAGTTGGCCGTGTCAGATGGTGGCGGGTTTAACGACACATTTATATATTCACGCGATCTCACCCACAAAAAAACCCGATTGTGGATAAGGCTCCCTTTGTTGTGCAATACCCCTCGGGGATTCCTGCTGCTCCAATGTTGTGACTTTCTCTTGTGCTTTGTCATTGCGACAGCCGTCGTCCGTGTGACTCCAAATCCTTTCATCTTCTTGGTTCTTTCGGTAAAGTCACGTAGAAGGGAAGTAATAAAATAATAAAAATAAAACATAATAAAATAATTATTTTAAAATAATAAAATAGTTATTTTAAAATACTTTTTGTAAAATAATAAAACAATTATTTTTTAAATAATTATTTAAAATAATTATTTTATTATGTTTTATTATTATTATTTTATTACTTCCCTTCTACGTGACTTTACCGAAAGAACCAAGAAGATGAATCCTTGCAGTCACGAAAGCTTCAAATCTAGAATTGACTCCAAATCCTTTGTTTCATCCTTCACGCAAACACGACCTTTGTTCTTGTCTGTCCTGCCCTTTGCTCTTTTCCCTGCCTCGCTCCTTGCACTCTGCCCGCCTGCAGAGATTGCCCCTCTGCAGACCATCTCTGGCCAGCCGTGCGTACAACCACGCGGAGGAGGCCACGTGCTTCCTGCCCTCCCAGAGGAAGAAGAGACGATGATTGCCTAGAGCCGGACGGAGCCTCCAAACACTCTCATCCCGATCCGCGGGCGCACCGTCAACCCCTCCACGTTCTGGTCGCCGACCGAAAAGCACCCAACGCAAATTGAAACTGTGCCGTAAGGGAGCCCAATTGGCACGGTTGGCTATGTACGGCGTAAAAGAAGTTCAACGCACGTACACACACCGCACACCTCCGATTGGCACAGTTGGTTATGTACGGTGTAAAAGAAGTTCAATGCACGTACACACACCGCACACCTCCGATTGGCACGGTTGGTTATGTACGGTGTAAAAGAAGTTCAACACACGTACACACACCGCACACCTCCGATTGGCACAGTTGGTTATGTACGGTGTAAAAGAAGTTCAACGCACGTACACACACCGCACACCTCCGATTGGCACAGTTGGCTACGTACGGTGTAAAAGAAGTTCAACGCACGTACACACACCGCACACCTCCGATTGGCACAGTTGGCTACGTACGGTGTAAAAGAAGTTCAACGCACGTACACACACTGCACACCTCCGATTGGCAACGGTCGGCTACGTACGGCGCGAAAGAAGTTCGGCACACGCACGTAAGGAGACGTAAAATACATTCAGTTTATTTTTTATTTTTTTTGGCCTTTGTATTGGCTTTATCTGAGCAGCCGTGCAATGGGTCGTGAAACACAGTAACGATGGTGTCTTTGCGGAGTCTCCTCCGGTGGGCCAGAGCGCACAGGTCAGGGCCCACTTTCCTGAATCTTTGATCGATGGCTCTTTCAGTTCCATCCCTCGGCATCGGCGCTTCCAACCGTGGGGCAGGTTTCTCAAACGAGCCGGGCAAGATCCCGGAAATTTATTTTGTCCTGGGGGAATCCGAAGAGCGATGAAGCTCTCTTGTCACAGATGTCCTGTGATATAAATCGGCCAATAACCCCCCGAAATCATCCCCACACCCCCCTCTATCTATCCCGCAAAGCAACATAAATGGGTTCTTATTCTTAGGTGTTTTCGGTAAAGTCACGTAGGTAAAACATTAAAATTAATAAAAGTAAAATAAAATAATTATTAATTTTAATGTTTTACCTACGTGACTTTACCGAAAACACCTAAGAATATGAATCATTGCAGTCACGAAAGCTTCAAATCTAGAATAAATGGGTTCGCAAACGAGTGGGTCGATGGGCGGATCACGCGTGTTGGTTTGGTTGGGGAGAGAGTGTGAGTCTTCCAAACTCATTCCGAGGCTTGCGGTCAGCCTGGAAGAGTAGGCCAAACACCCTCTTCGAGGTGCCAACCGGGGCTTTCTCTCGCGGAGACCCCTTCCGACAGAGTCAAGAAGTTGCGGGGGGCGCCTGCAGCTTTCGCCTCTATACCGCTGAATCGACGTGAACGTGAAAAAACTAATGGAATTAAAAAAATGTAGTACATTGTGTAACGAAAAAATATATGTTTTTTGTTCCTGGGTAGTAAGTGTTATTTTCCAATTGCTTTATGCCTCAAAAGTATAGAAAATGGCTGTTATTCTCCACAAACTTTGCTTTTGTGACCAGGACAGTGATATTTTGAAATGTACCTATTTTCAATGAGAAAACGCGTGCATTTGTGTCATTCCTTCACGTAAAGTCAACGTCACAAAAGCAAAGTTTGTGGGGAATAACGACCATTTTCTCTACTTTTGAGGCATAAGCAATTAGAAAATAACACTTACTACACAGGAGAAAAAAACCGTGTAACATAGTGAATTCTTGTTAAATCAATTAAAAGTGAACGTAGCCGCAGGGTCGATATTTCCCGCGCAGCCAAAGCGGCCGAAGGAACCGGTCGCGTCCTGCGGCGCTCGACGCATCGTAGTCTTTGCAGCGCCCGGCACAACGCCGCTGTGCCGCAGCGAGGCGTGTCACGGCAGCGCCGTGTGACCCCGTAGGGCCCACAGGTCACAGGGCACTGTGCCTAAGGGGGGCGACCTGACGACGACTGAATGGGCCTACGAAAACAAAGAAAATGTTGAGCATGTGTGTTTTTTGTTCGTACGATTAAAGCCACGCGACCACGGGGAGAGAGAGATTCGCAAAACTACAAATATACAGCAGCAGGCGTCAGGGTGGGGATCGAACTCACGACCTCCTGTAGACCAGGCGAGGTAGTTAACATTTCCTATCAACCGCGATGATGATGAGAGAGAGAGACACGCAAACTCCAAATATACAGCAGGCCAGGCGTCAGGGTCAGGATCGAACCCACGACCTCCTGTATACCAGGCGAGGTAGTTAACATCTCCTAGCCACCGTGATGATGATGAGAGACACGCAAATTCCAAATATACAGCAGGCGTCAGGGTCGGGATCGAACCCACGACCTCCTGTATACCAGGCGAGGTAATTAACATCTCCTACCCACTGTGATGATGATGATGATTATGAGAGAGACACGCAAATTCCAAATATACAGCAGGCGCCAGGGTCGGGATCGAACCCATGGCCTCCTGCGGACCTTACATGTTCAGTACTATCCAGATTGAGGTTATTGTTTTTATAATTTGTGACGCGGATGACGGTTCTACTTTAGCCAGCTACTGCTGTTACCCAGCTATTTTAGGTGAGGCTGGTTCTTTTTCGACTCAACGAGACGTTGAGATGCCGAGGACATTCAAGAGAGCAGCCCCTATCAATGCAAAACGCTGCATCGTCGTGGGCGGTAACGCTTGGCCCGTTTTTTTCATTCATTAATAATAATTTTCATTAATAATAATTTTCATTAATGATAATTTTCCTTAATAATAATTTTCATTAACAATAAGTAATTCTCCACAGCAACGGAGGAGATTCCCTGTGGAGAAATATGGGAAAAAATTAAGTCTTCCGCAGACACTACTCGTGACGCACCGCTATGCAAGATGTCCTTGTTGGCTTCAGGGAAACGTCTACCAGCGCACGTAGTTCAATACGCCCAGCGTTGTTACTGAATGCAGAATGTACGTACTCTTAGGTTTTTTTCGGTAAAGTCACGTAGGAAAAATAATACAAATAGAAAAAAAAAGAATGTACGTGCCAACATTTCGCTCGCCGTTCAGCGTAACCGGTTTTGCTGCGAGACGAACGCCCAATTGGTTTAACACGCGGTGAGGCTTTCGCGACAAATATTATATTATCAATACGCGGTTGTTTTTGTTTGTTGTTAGATCACGTAAATATGAATGTGTCGTTGCACCCGCCACCACCCGGCACACGTGACAAGCCGTGGCAAAGCTCACTAATTGGCTGTGCCGGGTGGTGGCGGGTTTTAACGACACATTTAAACTCAATTGGCACATTTTGTCCAGGTTAGAGCTTATATCCGTCTGCCTGTGCTGCTGTGGTGAAGGGCACACACAGCATCAGAACACTGGAGGAATCCGATGAGCTATAAAGCTCTTTTTCCCACAGATGTCCCAGCATGGGCAGGTCAGAACGTTTCAACAACAAACAGGGACCTTACCGGAATTGCATCTGCAAGATCTGACGACCCACAATAAAACCCATAATGACTCACCTACCGCCCGCTTCTTGTAGATTGAGAAATATATTTGTGTTTGTTACATGCACATGAAACAAATATGCACAACAGCTTTGATCCCTAGTATAGTTTATTTTTGGGGGAGGGGTTAGATCGCGTAAATATATAAATGTGTCGTTGAAACCCGCCACCATCCGACACAGACAACTAGTAAGGGATTCATCTTCTTGGTTCTTTCGGTCACGTAGAAGGAAAGTAATAAAATAATAAAAATTAAACATAATAAAATTATTCTCACGACGTTTCGGCCACAACGCAAGCAGCCGTCCTCAGGTGAAAACCAGGTCCGTCGAGGCGACAGAGTCTGAATGAAACAGCACACGAGCTTGGAGCATATATATAAGCTGGGCGCCTTGACAAAGGAATTTGCATATCAAGAGGAATTTAGCATATTTATGGGAAATTCAGGAATGTGATTAGTACTACATATACATGTGCATTATGCAGGATTAACAGCATCAAAGCTTTGAATCGAAAAATAGTAAGGGATTGCCACGTAAACAGAACGTGGCCAATTCGTCACTGGTACAGCACCACCGGTTGTGTGTTGGAGAGGCAAGCCACAACATTTTTGTTCACAAGTTATATTTTTCTTGGTTCTTTCGGTAAAGTCCCGTAGAAGGGAAATAATAAAATAATAAAAATTCAACAATTAAATTCTCACGACGTTTCGATTGCAACACAAGCAATCATCATCATCAGGTGCAAAAACCACACCTGGCGATGATTGCTTGTGCTGCAATCGAAACGTCGTGATAATTTAATTGTTTTCTTTTTATTACAGCATTTTATTATTTCCCTTCTACGTGACTTTACCGAAAGCACCACGAACATGAATCCCTGCAGTCACGAAAGCTTTAAATCGAAAGTTACATTTCCCCCGTGCCATACTCGTCATTCGGTATCAATTGCGAACTTCAATTGGGGCATCAGACGCCACAGCAGCAGCAACAGCAGCAACTTATTGACGTTTGGACCGCCTCTTTTGAAGGAGCCACGGTGAAAACTGACGAAGAGGACGCGTCGGGAGAAGGGCAAAACATCGCCACGATTGCCGAAAACGCCGCGGCTTCCTCCTCCGAACAACAACAACACCACCACCACCATCGCAAGAAGGACGACACGAAGAAGGAAGGTCTCGACCGCACGACGGACGACGCGGAGCGAACAGGCGACGGCCGCCACCACCACCGCGGTGCCAAAGACGCCGCGGAGAAGCAGGGGAAGAAGTTGCCAGGCGATCGGTCCCGTCGTGCCGAGGAGGAGGAGGCGGTGGTGGCGGCCACGTCAGGCGGGGACGGCACGAGGAGGAGGGAGGCCGAGAAGGCGCCTCGCGGAGCCGGCGGCGGCGGCGGTGCCGAGGAGGCCGGGAGGAGGAGGACGAGGAAGGGAGAGGCGACGCGGGGAGACGCGACGCGTAAAAAGGCTCCCGCAAAGAGCAAATGACGCGATTGTCAGTTTCCCCGAGGAAACGTGTTTTTGGTGGTGGTGGTGGTTGTTGTTGTTGCTGTTGTTGTTATTGTTGTTGACATGTGTTTGTTGACTGGGGCTGTAGAGTGCGGGCCTGCGGCTGGGGTAGAACTATTTTTTTTTTTTACCAGGTAAGGCCCATGCGACCATAGGGAGAACACGCAAACTCCAAATCTACAGCAGCAGGCGTCAGGCTCGCGATCGAACCCATGACCTCCTGTACATCAGGCGAGGTAGTTAACATCTCCCAGCCACCGTGATGATGATGAGAGAGAGAGACACACAAACTCCAAATATACAGCAGCAGGCGTCAGGCTCGCGATCGAACCCATGGCCTCCTGTAGACCAGGCGAGGTAGTTAACATCTCCTAGCCACCGTGATGATGAGAGAGAGAGACACGCAAACTCCAAATATACAGCAGCAGGCGTCAGGGTCGCGATCGAACCCATGACCTCCTGTAGACCAGGCGAGGTAGTTAACATCTCCTAGCCACCGTGATGATGATGAGAGAGAGAGACACGCAAACTCCAAATATACATCAGCAGGCGTCAGGCTCGCGATCGAACCCATGACCTCCTGTAGACCAGGCGAGGTAGTTAACATCTCCTAGCCACCGAGAAGGGGGAGGCTACCTCACCTGACATTCCAAAAATTCGTTTCGGAGGAGGCATTGTGTTGTTTTACCTCTTTTTTTAAGGTGACCGATGTTCTTTCTGGGTTCTGCATTCGTGTTGTCCCACATCCCAAAAAACCCCCAACCCTTCACTAGACTATCCTGCGCTGATCGGTGTGCGTGGTGAAGTATGTCAAACAATCCTCATTGGGTGCGTGGAGGTCTCAATTCCACAGTGGACTGACGAGAGAATGGACTGCCATGTATTATGAGAAATATGAAAGTGAAATAAAGAAAATGTCGTCATGAGCTGGCAGTATATACACACATCTAAGAACCTAAAACAATTCATGCCATCGTGTGTACGTTGAACTTATTTCGCACCGTACGTAGCCAGCCGCGCGAACCGGAGGTGCGGGGGGAGGACAACAAACACTCAATAAGCAAGTTATTAAAGAAATTAAATCTCGATATATAAAAATAAAACCAGCCCTGGTCTTTCTACTGCTTCCCTATCCACCGGCATCTCTCCCGATCCTGGGATGTAACATTCCCATACTCTTAGTTCTTTCGGTAAAGTCACGTAGGTAAAAAATGAAATTAAAATTAATAAAAATAAAAATTAATTATAATTTCATTTTTTACCTACGTGACTTTACCGAAAAAACCTAAGAGTATGATAGAAATAAAAATAAAAGTTTTTAATTTGTTATTATTATTATTATTTATTTTCTTTTTACCAACGTGACTTTACCGAAAAAACTAAGAGTATGAATCCTTGCAGTCACGAAAGCTTCAAATCTAGAATTATGTAACATTCCCACCCGGCACACTGCACGTGAAGCGAGTTCTTGGCTCCATCTCCTCTGGCCCGCGGTCACTTGGGACGTGGTTTGAATTCCTCGCTTGCTACTCTGTCGTTACTCAAGCGAAGCGTCCTGCCACAAACGTCCGCGCACTTCTGGCAATAAAATAGAAGGTTTAGATTTAAAGCTTTCGTGACTGCAGGGATTCATCTTCTCGATTCTTTCGGTAAAGTCACGTAGAAGGGAAATAATAAAATAATAAAAATGAAACATAATAAAATACAATTCTCACGACGTTTCTGCCACAACGCAAGCAGCCGTCCTCAGGTGAAGAACAGGGCTGTCGGAAAGACGCTGTCTTTCGCTGTCTCATTTGACCCGTGAATGCGTGAACCCCCAATTACCCCCAATTCGCCTTTGCGAAGGTTTCTCTACATCACTCCGAGCGGGCATTTCTCCTCCTCTTCGCAATCTTCCTTGCGTGCACTTTTATTCGTTCGACGTTTTCCTTTGCGGTGCCAAGCGTGCGAACAAGAAGAAGTAGAGAGGGAAATGACATCGCAAGCACGGTGATTCTTCACGGACAAGTTTATACAAACAGAACAACATACAAACTTCATGATAGTCATAAATACAAAAGGCAACGCGGGCATTCCATCAGCCACAGCGGGTAAAGTATATCTCGTGAATGTCCCACTTTAACGTATCAAACGACTTTGCCGACTATGGAATCGATCGAGAGCGTGGCTTATTGAACAGTTAAATATGCCGACAAAGTGTTCTCCCTAATTTAATTTACGCGAAAATATATTTTCAGCTGCATCATTAAATAATTGCGTACACATATATTTCACAAAGACGGATACGGCCCATCAAATCGATTTTTACTTTGCAAAAAAATGAATCTTGGAATCATTACGCCCGACATTCACTTGCGTGCAAAACTATAAATTACGGCAAAAGCTACATTAGCCTCACACACACACGCGTATGATACTTCTTTTTTTACACCGTACTCAATCAAGCGGAGGCATGCGCTACATTTGTTTTTTTTATAAGTATCATTGTTATTACGACGATGACATCACCAGCTGGACGAAAGAGGACTTCGACGGCTCAGGCTACGAATCATTTCGTTGTCAACGTCACTTTGTAGCGAAATCGCCGAGGTTGCAGAAACACGCGCAAAATAAAATCCATTTGCAGAAAATTCACGGCGAACGAGTCCCTCCCTCCCTCTCTCGTTCCATCCCTCCCCCCTCCCTCCCTTCCCCCCTGCCTCCCTCCCTCTATCTCTCCCGCCCCCTCCCTCCCTCCATTCCTCTATCCCCCCCCTCCATCCCTCCCCCTCCCTCCACCAGCCCACAGGAGATTATTGTGTCCGTCCGTCCGTCGTGCAGGGAGGGGCTGGGTGGGGAGGGGAGGGGAGGGTGGGGAGGGTGGGACTGGGAGGGGTGGGGCTGGGTGGGGAGGGGAGGGGCTGGTCACCCCGTGGTGCCCTTATAAAACTCAACGTTTAACCTACTCACGCCGGCTTGTGCCCGCCCTCACAGTCGGGCATATTTGCGGAATACACCACGCCGCCGTTGACCCTGGCCATTGACCGAGCAACCCGACGTTCCTACCAGCTCCCTCCACAGGAATGTGTAACGGGTTCAGCTCGCGGCAGAGCCTCTGCACGTTATCCGCAACAACAACAACAACAACAAATGTTTCGTCACAGAGACTGCAACCTGTTCACCGCCATTGCCAGTCGAGTTACTTCGGTGAACGAAGCCGTCGTTCCGGTGGGGAGTCGCTGCGATGGCGTTCATTCGTCGTGCAATAGGGGACAATAGGGTGTCCTTCACAGGGATGCGCCCTACACGCACGGCGTAGTCCCTCGTGGTGATATCACAGTCTAAGTGTAGCTGTAAATCCCTCCGGATTACGAGACGCGGAACGGTAAAGGATGCCCGCCGTCAAGAAGAACAAAGGTCCGAAAACGCCAAGCGTCCAGCGACCAACTGCACTGCTCTGGATGCAGCAGAGATGGGATGACGTGTTTTATTTACTTGTTTGTTGAGCAAGCGTTGTACGAACTCGAGGGAGGTGAGGAGATGGCGAGGGGAATTCCACAGCGGAGAGACGCGGCAGGAAGAGGAGTGTGGTGAGCGTGGGGGTGAGTGGGTGGGTGAGTGAGTGGATGGGTGAGTGGGTGAGTGAATGTGTTGTTGTGACCTGCAGTGTGGTGAGCGAGGGGGTGAGTGGGTGGGCGAGTGAGTGGGTGGGTGAGTGGGTGAGTGAATGTGTTGTTGTGACCTGCAGTGTGGTGAGCGAGGGGGTGAGTGGGTGGGCGAGTGAGTGGGTGAGTGAATGTGTTGTTGTGACCTGCAGTGTGGTGAGCGAGAGGGTGAGTGGGTGGGCGAGTGAGTGGGTGAGTGAGTGGGTGAGTGAATGTGTTGTTGTGACCTGCAGTGTGGTGAGCGAGAGGGTGAGTGGGTGGGCGAGTGAGTGGGTGGGTGAGTGAGTGAGTGGGTGAGTGAATGTGTTGTTGTGACCTGCAGTGTGGTGAGCGAGGGGGTGAGTGGGTGGGTGAGTGAGTGGGTGGGTGGGTGAGTGGGTGAGTGAATGTGTTGTTGTGACCTGCAGTGTGGTGAGCGAGGGGGTGAGTGGGTGGGCGAGTGAGTGGGTGAGTGAATGTGTTGTTGTGACCTGCAGTGTGGTGAGCGAGGGGGTGAGTGGGTGGGCGAGTGAGTGGGTGGGTGAGTGAGTGAGTGAGTGGGTGAGTGAATGTGTTGTTGTGACCTGCAGTGTGGTGAGCGCGGGGTGAGTGGGTGGGTGAGTGGGTGGGTGGGTAAGTGGGATTGTTGTTGTGACCTGCAGTGTGGTGAGCGAGGGGGTGAGTGGGTGGGTGAGTGAGTGGGTGGGTGAGTGAGTGGGTGAGTGAATGTGTTGTTGTGACCTGCAGTGTGGTGAGCGAGGGGGTGAGTGGGTGGGCGAGTGAGTGGGTGGGTGAGTGAGTGGGTGAATGTGTTGTTGTGACCTGCAGTGTGGTGAGCGAGAGGGTGAGTGGGTGGGCGAGTGAGTGGGTGGGTGAGTGAGTAAATGTGTTGTTGTGACCTGCAGTGTGGTGAACGAGGGGGTGAGTGGGTGGGTGAGTGAGTGAATGTGTTGTTGTGACCTGCAGTGTGGTGAGCGAGGGGGTGAGTGGGTGGGTGAGTGAGTGAATGTGTTGTTGTGACCTGCAGTGTGGTGAGCGAGGGGGTGAGTGGGTGGGTGAGTGAGTGAATGTGTTGTTGTGACCTGCAGTGTGGTGAGCGAGAGGGTGAGTGGGTGGGTGAGTGAGTGGGTGGGTGAGTGAGTGAGTGAATGTGTTGTTGTGACCTGCAGTGTGGTGGCTGAATTGGACATCTGTGAGAAAGACCTTCATAGCTCATCGGATTTCTCCAGGATAAATATTCAGATTTTGAACACATTACAGAGGAGATGAAAGGGCCTGGTTTAGACCGAGTCCTCAACACGAGCGAGGCACACATTTGAACCCTTTCCCGTTCCGAGACGTCTGCAAGTTACAGGGTAGGTGTCCCGTTCACCGCCGAATCTCGGAACACGCGAGTGGGTCGGCGTGAATTTTATTTTGAGGCGTAGCGACGTTGCTTTCAAAAGACATCGTCCTCACCGCAGAGAACTGTAGCCACACGACCACACTCTATGATAGCTGGTGCCAAACTGTGCCACACGCCCTCCCCGCATGGCCTTGTGGGAGCGTCGGTGCCGATAAAGTTATTTTAATCGTAGTTTTTTTTCCGATTCCGTTATAATAACGTTCCGTGTACGTACGCCATCGGAACGGAATCGAAAGAAAAACCGATGACGTGTACATGGACGTCGTGGGAACGGGAAAGGGGGTCAATAACCGACAAAGGAAACATAAACGTGAAATAAAAACCCCGCACATAATATTTGCACGGATCCGGCACAAACGTAAAGACTCCGCACTTCGCGATGACCCCCCCCCACCAAAGCTTTCGCGAACCAATCGGCCTCTCGCCCAGGTCCCCCCCTCTTTACATGACCGTCTCCGTCTCCTCCTGCGCGACGATGCGGGAGTCGGAGTCCTGCTCCTCAACGATGACGATCGGCACCTCCGGCTCCTCCATCTCCTCCGCGTCGTTCTGCTCCCCGTCCTCCTCCTCCTCCTCCTCGGGGATGGAGGGCGGGTGGGTATTCTCCGACAGGGAGCCGTTGCGCACGAATCCCGGCAGGTTGCGGTAGTTGCCGTTCGCCGACGAGAAGTGGGCGCAGTGATTGGCTCCGTTTCTCGATCCCGCCGGCTGAAAGGCCGGGCACACGGACACACGCACGCACACGCACACGGACACAAGCACGCACACGGACACAAGCACACACACGGACACACGCACGCACACGCACGCGCGTTAACTTTATTTCGAGAGGCGTAGCGGCAGCGCCGTTATTTTCAAAGACGTCGTTACTCACCGCAGAAAACCACAGCGACGCGACGCGACGCAACCGCCACTCGACGGTAGCTGGCGCCAAAGTGGAGGAGAGGGGGTCACGTTCAACGCTCGCACGACGCGTCAAGTGTACGACCGCCGCGTATCCGCCCCGACCACTTAACCGCTCGCACCCCCGTGCTGGCGTTAGCTCTGCACGGCGGCGTAATGGTTTTGTTTGCTATGGGTGTTCACGAATCTGACCTCGTGCGCATAACGGTAGCTCCGATTGGCACGGATGGCTTTCGTACGGCGCGACAAACAGTTCTGCACGCGCGCGTTCATCTGCCTTTGTAGCAGGGGCTGGCAGGTAAAATAGCAAGAAGAGCCACTGTTTTTTTTCCGAGCTCAATTTTTCAAGAGCCGCAATGCACCGGTGGTGAATACGAGACGGTGGGTCCTTGATAGATACTGCGACAAAGCGGGACCTTCAAGATACCGCGCGCAGCTCCGGGCCTGCATGTTAACCAACCCTGGACTATGCCCTTGGTCCCCAGCCACACGGATATTATCCACTCAGTTGTCTGTTCAGAAGCCGAGTGGGATCTCGTCTGTCCCTCCTCTAAAGGGGCGAAGACGGCGGCGACGGCGGCGGAGTGTTTACGATGCGGCCGACGGTTTGGGATTCCGTGGCCGCACCGCTCGCAGTGCCGCCGAACCTTTGACGGCGCCATTCGTGGCATCGGGTGGCCCCATCGGCCACGCGGCCCCGGTCCCGATTCGGTTGACGGTCGGCCTCTGGCGGCGCGGAAGGTCGAGACGGACACTTGACGTGTGCCGGACTGGAAACTCGGTAAATGTGACGCGCAAATGAAATGACTGCCTGCGCAAATTGCACAAAAAGTTGAATTTGACAATCCGTGACAAGAGGGTGGTGCGACGCAGTGGCCCCAGCGGGTAGAGCGCCCGCCGCTTGCTGCTGCTGCTGCACAGTTCCGTGGTTCGAATCCAGCGGCAGCCCCCGGTCACTACTGCGGGTTGCAATTACCGTAATAGTACGAGTAGGCCTGTGGGAGGGGCGGTGTGTGTGTGTTATTTTCCGGAGCATCTTATAATCAGGAGAATACGGTAAATAGGAAAAGCCCAAGTGGGTGTCTTCCGATACAATGTTTTGAGTGTGCCAGAGGATTGTGAAGGAGTGAATTTTATAATGATGCCCCCCCACCATCCCACCCCTGGGGGTTTATCTGTTGAATATTTTATTTAACTCGACGAAGCTGAAAATAAAAATTGGCAGAAACTGTCTCGGGCCCAGACGAAAATAATTTTCAGACACGGGCTGATGTTTTAAAAAAGATATATAAATAGACGAGGCTAAATGTGAAGTGCTCGATACCGCTGCATCTTCAGCTAAAGAATATGTAACAAAAAAACAACCGTGCTTTTTTTTTTTATTTCAATATTGTGGCATTCTATTTCAATTGACCTCAGATGTGCAACGAGCACGTTCACAGGCAACGGATGAATGCTCTCTTCAAGAGCGCGAGCCAACGTCCAAACAACAGTATCCCACCAATGGCCACGCTAAATCCACTGTTGGATGAAGGCCGGCCTACCCAAGCCGCCGTCGCCCTCCCATGATCCCGCCTCCATTGTAACAATCCACCATTGTAATAAACCATTGTAATAAATCCATCGTAATAATCCACCCCACGCATTCCATTGCTCGGACCATCGTATTTCGAAACACTCGCTGCTCAACAGAAATGGGGGGCCTATTTCACATAACCAGAAGGCTGCATGCAGCCAAGCAGGTCGATTGCTCGGTACCGAGCTGCAAAATGACCCCCCCCCCTCCCCCACCGAGGACTAAGACGTGAAAATGGGTAAAGGCGCAGCCCTGCAATTGCTCGAGAGAGGGAGAACCTGCAGAGGGGAAAGGGGGAGATTTCAGCCTCCTATTTCGACGCTGGTCAGACGTCTCTGAAAGCGCTAGGAGCACCCACACTTTACCCCCCCCCCCCCCCCCCCCCCCCCCCACTGCACACACATGACCAGCCGGTCATAGACTAAACAGCAGTGTGCCCATTATACCGCTGCGTGGATAGCTACACGGGCAGGCTGGGATTTAAGAAACTTTTTGGAAAACTGCTGCGCCAGGAGACCAAATCCCACCCCTCCCGCCCCGACCGCTGGATTTGCAAGTCCGGTGCGCGGGCCATCACTCTGTGGCGGAGGCGGCGGCAGCAGCGACAGCTTCCCTCCCCAAGGGTGCGGATAACAAAGAGGAGGCATTTGACTTTTTTTGGAGCGATGGCAGCGGTGGCCGGGCCGAGACCACCCAACTCACGCGGGAGTTTTGTCTTCAGACGCAGGGTCTCGGCGGAATCGTTGAGCGCACGGGCACAAAGTGCTGCATGTAGCCTGGGAGTGAGCCCCTTCTGCCACTTATTCAGCACTAGAAAGCTTACATAACGTGTCTCGCAGACTGGAATATTTCAGAGCGGTAGTAGCTGGCTGGATGGCTTAGTGGACCACGCATTTAAGAGGGGTAGTAGCTGTCTGGATGGCTTAGTGGGTCACACATTTGCCAGTAGGCACTTTGTTGATTTTGTAAATCAGTGTGTGCCACTTGCTATTTCTTCTCCAGCAGGTTCAGAAACACGGTCATTAATAACGAATACTGCGCATGCACGTATGTTGAACTTCCTTCGCACCGTACGTAGCCCTCTGTGCTCATCCGAGGTTGCGTAGCAAAAAACAACAAGGTGAAAAGCGCGCAAAGAAGCGTGGCTCGGGCAGAGCACATCACGGCCAGAAGGTACGTAGTGGCCGATTATCGATAATAATATTAATCATGGAGCAGAAGCCAAGGGATGGAACGAGGTCAACCGAGGAAATGTAGCGATTAAATCTTGTTTCATGGGCGGGTGCCGAGTGGATTGTTACGACTTTACCAAAAGAACCAAGAAGATGAATCCCTGCAGTCACGAAAGCTTCAAATCGAAATGCCCCCTAATAATTTATGATTTTCAATGATTTTCATTGTAAGAGACGAAACAAATAGCAACGGACGTCCTGCGTCCGGTTACAAAAGTGAATTGAACCCTGCGGAGATCTATTGAACGCAGCACGCGATAAAATAAGGTTCTGAATTTAATCTCTCTTAAAGCGTCCAAATCGGACGTCGGTCGCAAGCCGCTGCGCAGGAGATTTTTTTGGGGGGCGGGCATAGAGAGGCAGGCTCTCTTGGTGGTGGGACGGGTTCAACAAAGAGATCGGTGTGGGTCGTGCGGACTTGACAGGCATATTTATTCATGACCGGGCGAGACTCCACTGTGGTTCCTATTTTTAGGAGGAGGGAGGGGTAGGGGGGGATAGGCCGCTGGGTTCAAATTTTCAGCGGTGCGGCAGTGTGCGAGGTTTTGATTGCTGCACTCAAACTCGGGAAAACTTGTCACGTTGAGAATGCGTATCCCGATGTCGTCAATAGTCTGGCCGTACGCTTGTGGGCAGCGCGCGTGCCCACCTGAGGCTGTAGGAGGGCCCGGTTGGGCACGTTGGTGCTCACACTGTGCGTGGCCTGCGAGACGGTCAGCCCGTAGCTGTAGCTGTTGCTGCCGCTGCGCACTTTCCTGCGGAAGTCCAGGTTAAGGTTCCAGCGCACCCAGGTCTTCTTGATCTCCGCCTGTACCTACGGGGGGGGGGGGGGGGAGTGAACACGCACGGTGTGACAGGTTCACTTCCCTCGCCGGCAGCGTTGACGAAATTCTAAAACAAAGTTACGCGCGTTTTCGAAATCTTGCGTTGCGGCGCACAACAACAATAGTAATGACTTTCGATTTAAAGCTTTTGTGACTGCAGTAATTCCTCTTCTTGGTTTTTTCGGTGAAGTCACGTAGAATGGAAATAATAAAATAATAAAAATAAACCATAATAAAATACAATTCTCACGACGTTTCGGCCACAACGCAAGCAGCCGTCCTCAGGTGAAGAACAGGTCTGTCGAGAAGACAAAGTCTGAATGTGTTCTTCACCTGAGGACGGCTGCTTGCGTTGTGACCGAAACGTCGTGAGAATTATTTTATTTTAAGATTGCGAAGAGGAGGAGAAATGCCCGTTCGGAGTGATGTAGAGAAACCTTCGCAAAGGCGAATTGGGGGTAATTGGGGGTTCACGCATTCACGGGTCAAATGAGACAGCGAAAGACAGCGTCTTTCCGACAGCCCTGTTCTTCACCTGAGGACGGCTGCTTGCGTTGTGGCAGAAACGTCGTGAGAATAATTTTATTATGTTTTATATTAATTATTTTATTACTTCCCTTCTACGTGACTTTACCGAAAGAACCAAGAAGATGAATCCCTGCAGTCACGAAAGAAGCTTTAAATCGAAATTTAAAGTGAGTGAGCGGTCAGTGGTTTGAATGTGAAATACCATGGAGGGGACCACTCCGCTCGATTGTCAGGCGGCGAGCGCTGTGGGGAAGACGCGGGTAGGTGGGGGCGTTGCGGAATAAATGAGATTAGTATTATTATTTTCTCTGCATGGGTTCTTCCATCTCCTTTGGAATTGACAGGCAATAGCATTATTAAAATTTGCTCTTGCTTTTTATGAAAAATACTTAGGTATACGCACACAGGGCGGTCCAAAAGTCAGGATACGTAGGGGTGGCGAGATGTTAACTACCTCGCCTGGTATACAGGAGGTCGTGGGTTCGATCGCCGCCCTAACGCCTGCTGTATATTTGGAGATGGCGTGTCTCTCTCCGTGGTGAGATGTTAACTACCTCGCCTGGTATACAGGAGGTCGTGGGTTCTATCTCGGCCCTGACGCCTGCTGTGTAGTTGGAGTTTGCGTGATCTCCCCGTGGTCGCGTGGATTTTTCTCCGGGTCCTCCGGTTTTTCTCTCCACATTTAAAATCAACGTCACGCGTTTAGAGTCTTTGGCCGCTATACATTTCCACGTGATCACAAGCCACTTCTTTGAGCTATCATTTGTGGCCAGGTCGCTTCTGAAAAAGAGCTATACAGCTCAGTGGGCTTTACCTGGTAAAATACAAAAGGAAAACTAAAAAATCTGAAAAATATCTTCAGTGGTCACTCAGTTTACAATGCCATTGAATACCGATATATCGATCAACGATCTGCCTCCCATGGGGGTCGCATTATTTAAGAAATCACAAAGGATTATTTCATGTTTTCCTCTGTTGACACAAATGCGCGATGCATGAATGATCTTTTTAAATGAATTTAGGAGTTTTATTAGACGTTACATCACGTGTAATCTTTTTGAACATTTGTCCACTGCGTCTCAGTCAATTCGCAGGCTTCTTCTTGGTCATGTTTTGTAAACGACGGATTAAAGGTGACCCCCCCTCCTCCCACCCACTCCCTACAGGAATGAGTAAAAATATATTAATCATATTCTTTGGGTCTTTCGGTAAAAGCCACGTATTTAAATCTAAAAAATAATTCTGGTAGGAACCACATGGTTCCACCAGACCACAGGGGATTATTGTGTCCGTCCGTCCATCGTGCATCCAAAAATGGGAGGGGTGGGGCTGGGTGGAGAGGGAAGGGTGGGGAGGGGCTGGGTGGGGAGGGTGGGGTTGGGTGGGGGGTGGGAGGGGTGGGGCTGGGTGGGGAGGGGCTGGTCACCCGGTGGTGCCCTTATAAAACTCAACGTTTAACCTACTCACGCCGGCTTGTGCCCGCCCTCACAGTCGGGCATATTTGCGGAATACACCACGCCGCCGTTGACCCTGGCCATTGACCGAGCAACCCGACGTTCCTACCAGCTCCCTCCGCAGGAATGTGTTAAAATTATCAGGACGTTTCGATCACAACACAAGCAATCGTCATCAGGTGAAAAAATACAGCGGGAGAGCTGCCGAGACACGAAGTGATATGGGCTTGAGATGGGCTCAGCCCAAGGGTAAGTGGGTGGGGCGAGAGGTGGAATTTGCATGTCAATGTAAGATCGGTGATCTACCTCCATGACGACGATGCGGCTCATCCTCTTGGTTTTTTCGGTCAAGTCACGTAGAATGGAAATAATAAAAAAATAAAAATAAAACATTAGAAAATAATTCTCACGACGTTTCGGCCACAATGCAAGCAGCCGTCCTCAGGTGAAAGAACCAAGCAGATGAATCCCTGCAGTCACGAAAGCTTTAAATCGAAATTTAACCGACGACGCGGCTGCGGAGGTGGCCATTGTATTGCATTTTCTCCTGCCGCGGCAACTCTCTCGCTATATTTATTTCACCTGATGACGATTGCTCGTATTGCGATCAAAACGTCGTGATAATTTTTTTATTATTTTTATTTACGTGGCTTTACGGAAAGACCCAGATAATATGAATTCCTGCAGTCACGAAAGCTTTGAGTCAATATTAATCATAAGTGATCAAATATTAACTTAAAGAATAAACGATGAAGATGTTCTCATGCCAGTGTTCAATCAAATATGATAACCCTATGTCTCCTGACTTTGGGCCACCGTGTAGATAAAAAAAAGTTTAAGGTGCAGCCCTGAAATTTCAAACTCACACCTGCCGATGCTAATTCAATAAAAAAAAATTTGAAATTTAATACGACGAGTTTTTTCTTCCCGCGTGCGATTATTATCGGTGGCCAGCGATGAGATGAGACAGACCATCAATTCGCTAGACAAGAGAGAGAGAGAACCCAATTTCAATAACGGGCGGCCAAAGCCAATACAGATAATTATTCTGATTCAGTTTTAAGGCCAACATTTAAGCCGGGCTGACTTGGCGCCTTGTGACTGCCCCCCCCCCCCCTCAACCATCACCCATCGCGCCCCCCACTCTCCCACGCCTGCCCCCCCTCCCCAATCCACCTCCACCCCCCCGCTGTGTCACCCAGCCACCGCTCCGTGACAGATCCACTGCCAAGCCCGCGCGCTGGCCCGCCGCTCGTTATGCGGCGCGGTCGATGAAGAGGATGTACACGCCGCTTGGAGAACGTCGGTACCGACCTGGTCGCTCGTGTGTTGCTCGAGACTGATGGGCGCGGGCCCCTTTCGCTAAAGCGTGCGATTAAAGCGCAGTGCATGGCGACGACCAAACAACCATCCCCACGCGAGCAAATTTGCCCGGTGGCTTTGAAACGCACGGACGGCGATTACCACCAACACACACACACACGGACAAAGATAATTCTAGATTTGAAGCTTTCGTGACTGCAAGGATTCATATCGTTAGGTTTTTTTGGTAAAGTCACGTAGGTAAAAAAAGAAAATTAAAATTAATAAAAGTAAAATAAAATAAAAATCACGACGTTTCGGAGGCCTCTTACTTCATGCAGCAGTCGGGCTGTGACGGTTCCACCTGAAGACGGAAGCTTGTGTTGCCTCCGAAACGTCGTGATTTTTATTTTATTTTTATTTTACTTTTATAAATTTAAATTTTTTACCTACGTGACTTTACCGACAAAACCTAAGAATACGGACAAAGATCCCCGAGAAACAGCCTTTAACAGACTGCCGGGGGCAAGTGCTGTGAGCGAGCGCGCACACAGCGCACACAGCGCAGATGAAAGCCGGCACAGACACACGAGGGAGTAGGTGGCCAGGACCACGCCTGGCCGCCTTTGTCTCCCGAGTGGCGATGCGTACACATCGGACCAAGTACTCATTTTAGGCTGAGTCGACCTAGGGGAGGCCCAGGACCGGTTCGGATAATCGTCACCGGTGTTGGTGGCCTTGAGCGGTAATCGAACTCGCGTGGCCGGGTTCGTAGCGCAATGCGTCTGATATGACATGAGGAGCCCGAAGAACACCTCGAGAAGAGCGCTCGTCTGCTGGGACCCGGCTCGCTGGCAGGCTCAGCACGTGGCGCTGACTCTGCAGCGGATATCATTGTGCCACGCGCACGGACTCGGTCAGCCCACGCACCACAACTTGGTGGACATTCAGCTAAACGTCACCGTGAGAAACAATCTCGGGTGCAAAAAGGACAAGCTAATCCCACACTACCGTGGCCGCCTGTTGCTGTGCAACAACCGCCACCACCAACAACAACACCACCACCACCCTCCACCACCAACACCAGCCCCCACCGACACCACCACCAACACCACCAACCCCCCCCCCCCCCACCAAAACCACCACCCCCCACCAACACCAACACCAGCCCCCACCAACACCACCACCCCCCACCAACACCACCACCAACACCACCAACACCCCCCCCCCCACCAAAACCACCACCCCCCACCAACACCAACACCAGCCCCCACCACCACCACCCCCCCACCAACACCACCACCCCGCAACAACAACACCACCACCCCCCCGCCAACACCACCAACACCACCACCCACCACCAACACCATCACCACCAACACCACCACCCACCACCAACACCACCACCCCACCACCACCACCCCCCCACCAACACCACCACCCCGCAACAACACCACCACCACCCCCCCGCCAACACCACCACCACCCCCCACCAACACCACCACCACCACTACCCCCCCCACCAACACCACCAACACCACCATCCACCACCAACACCATCAGCACCACCCCCCACCATCACCACCAACACCACCACCTACCACCAACACCATCATCACCACCACCCCACCACCACCACCACTACCCCCCCCACCAACACCAACACCACCACCACCCCCCACCAACACCATCACCACCTCTACCCCCCCACCAACACCACCAACACCACCACCACCCCCCACCAACATCATCACCACCACCCCCCACCAACACCACCACCACCACCCCCCACCAACACCACCATCAACACCACCAACACCACCACCACCACCACCACCCCCCACCAACACCAACACCACCAACACCACCACCACCACCACCCCCCACCACCAACACCACCACCACCACCACCCCCCACCACCACCACCACCCCCACCAACACCACCACCCCCCACCAACACCACCACCACCCCCCACCACCACCACCACCACCACCACCCCCCACCACCACCACCACCCCCACCAACACCACCAGCCCCCACCAACACCACCACCACCCCCCACCAACACCACCACCGCCCACCAACACCACCACCCCCCACCAACACCACCACCAACACCACCAACACCCCCCCCCCACCAAAACCACCACCCCCCACCAACACCAACACCAGCCCCCACCACCACCACCCCCCACCAACACCACCACTACCCCCCCACCAACACCACCAACACCACCACCCCCCACCATCACCACCACCACCCCTCCCACCACCACCACCAACACCACCACCACCAACACCACCACCACCACCCCCCACCACCACCACCACCCCCCACCACCACCACCACCCAACACCACCACCAACACCACCACCCCCCACGAACATCATCACCACCACCCCCCACCAACACCACCACCCCCCACCACCACCACCACCACCACCCACCACCAACACCACCACCACCCCCCACCCCCACCACCACCACCACCAACACCACCACCACCACCCCCCCCCCCTACCACCACCACCACCAACACCACCCCCCACCACCAACACCACCACCACCACTCGTCAAAAATTCGCCGCCAAGCAGCAGTGGCCAAGACGCTGGACAAAGTACCACACGTGGCATCGGACTTACTCCCCCCCCCCCCCCCCCCCACTTCATGTCGACATTTCGCAGCCACCCCCCGTGCGTCTGAAGCCCCCGGGGGCACGCAGCGCGAGCAATGCCGCAGTGTCCGCAGAGTGGAGCGTGTGGGGGCAACAATCAGGGACTGAACGATTTGGAGTGAAATATCTGATTGCCATTTTTTTGACAGATATTGCGATTTGATTTGCGATGACATTTTTGTAAAGTCAAGCTTCGGTTCAATATTTGCTGTGTAATAGATTTAAAACATGCGATGGAGCATTTCCACGTGATACCATCAAAATATGAACAGTTCCAGACATTATAATGCAAGGATGAGAACTTAAAAGATATGAATTGCTTCCAACATGTATTTATTAAAATGTCTTAATTGAAATAGAACAATCAACATAGAACAATTGTTAAGTTAAATGAATACATTTATTATAATAATAAAAAAATAAAACAATTCCAATAAAATAATAATAGGACTTTTCAAATCGCAAAAAGATCGCAGCCTTTGTGATTTGCTAATCGCATTGTTTCAAATTGCGATTTCGATTTCAAATCGATTAATCGTTCAACCCCAGCAACAACCACCGCCATCCGCCACTGAGTGGCGGTGACGTCACCTTAGCGCTTGTGCCAGGCTAGGTGCACATCACGGCCACGCGGAGCGTCAAACGCCCGCCGGCAGGAGGTCACGGGGCAGGCGCACGTGCCACGGGTGGACTGACTGAGATGACTGAGTTGACCGAGATGACCGAGATAACTGACCGATGCACCACCTGTGCCCCCCCCCCCCCCCTACTGAGCATGTGGGACACCCACGCTGGCTGGAGCGACGAATGGAGAGCCGTGAAAGTGCCGAACGAAGACCTCGTACGCGATCCATCCGCGCAGACGCCTGGCTCCGACCCCACTCAAGGCGCCAACGGATGGAGTTAACCCGCGTCCCGTGTGACCAGGCAGCGTTTAGCTGTTTCCGAACATCGATGGGGCCCGTGGCTACTTAGGCGACATTCTAGATTTGAAGCTTTCGTGACTGCAAGGATTCATACTCTTAGTTCTTTCGGTAAAGTCACGTAGGTGAAAAATGAAATAAAAATTAATAAAAAATAAAACAATAAAAATCACGACGTTTCGGAGGCAACACAAGCTTCCGTCTTCAGGTGAAACCGTCACAACTCCTCCTCCCCCACTGTCCTTCCTGGCTCCTCCCCCCTTAACCACTATATAAGGTACAGATATTTTGCTGTGACGGTTTCACCTGAAGACGGAAGCTTGTGTTGCCTCCGAAACGTCGTAATTTTTATTGTTTTATTTTTATTAATTTTTATTTCATTTTTTACCTACGTGACTTTACCGAAAGAACTAAGAGTATGAATACTTAGGCGACAGCCCACTGCTGCTGCTGGTGCGAATTGGCGCGGAGCCAGGAGGTGACCATGCGTGGCTCACCATCGTCTACGGCTGTGAAGTGCGTCAGGGCGTGCCGGGCGGACTGATTGCCCTGCACTTGATGGAGGAGGAGGAGGCTGCAGAGTGGCTCTGTTGCTATGCTGCGGGGCTGACGTGCACTCAGAGAATATTTATCGAAAAATAGATCTTGTAAATGTAGATATTACTGCTAACCCTTCTTCCTCCCTTTGTTGCTGCTAATCCTACATAATGCACGGGCATAATATGACTTTGAGACCCCCCCCCCACCTCCTATGCATTCCACAAGTAGTGACTAATCCCATATCTGCATTTTCCATAAATATGCTAAATTCCTTTGTTGATATGCAAATTTATTTGTCAAGGCGCCCTTCCTCCCCTAACCCAGCTTAAATATACGCTGCCAAGCTTGGTGGTGTTCATTCAGACGCTGTCTTTCCAACAGACCTGTTCTTCACCTGAGGACGGCTGCTTACGTTGTGACCGAAACGTCGTGAGAATTGAATTTTGTTATGTTTTATTTTTATTATTTTATTATTTCCCTTCTACGTGACTTTACCGAAAGAACCAAGAAGATGAATCCCTGCAGTCACGAAAGCTTTAAATCTAAATTTAATGTAGATGGTGTTTTGACCGCGGGAAGTCGCGGTAAAATAGCGCTCGCTAAATTAAACAAAACAAAAAATAAACTCCTAACAAAGTGCTACATGGATCGCTCAGTGGGTCTCACCTGGTCAAATAAAAAATATAGTTTAGCTTCAGTTAAATTCAACCTTGAACGCCCATTCGCCCGCCACGCAACGACAGCAAGCACCACGACCAACAAGGCCCGATGTGTCCTCGCGCAAAAATAACTGTGTACACAGGCCCCCCCCCCTGCCCCCCACGGCGTCCTAATCCTCCTGCAAAGTCCTTGAACAAAGCCCACGTGTGGGATGATGTGACAACAACACAAAAAAATAATTTCACTCTGCAGGGCACACCCCCCGTGTGTTAAAAACAGAGCATGCTCTCTGGCACACTGAGAGAACACTCCGCAGAGCTTAATTCATCTTGAGAAAAAAAAATGTGCTTCTGGCCACGTTTCCCGCTATGACCCCAAACAGCTCGTCCCACTGCACACAAAGCGGGCTATGCCCATGGGGTAGTGCGCGTACATTTGCAACACGCGGTTCGGATTAATTTCTCATCTCGAATCACAATAAATCAGCTGCGGCAAACTGCTTTTTTGCGTGTTCAGTTTGTTGTCCTTCCTACCCCCCCCCCCCCACCAACACCGACGATTAGCGCGGGTTGGCTCCGTACGGTGTGCGAGAGAAGATCAGCCGCAGACGTGCTCAATCCACTGCTGCATGAAGGTCCTAAGCGAGCCGCTGCCTCTGACAATGCTGCGGTGTAACAATCCACCTTGCCCGCCATGCCCACGTGCAATACAAAGATCCCCCGTGTAGCCTGTAACAGACTGTTGGGGCAAGTGCTGTTAGCGAGTAGCACCTATGAAGGCCGGAACAACGTACGTACGAGGGGGTGGGTGGCCAACGCCACACCCGGCCGCCTTTGTCTCCCCAGTGGCGATGTTTTTTATTTTATTTTACACACCGCAACAGGTACCCAATTGAGGCTGAGTCGACCTAGGGGAACACCCAGGACCGGTTCAGATAATCGTCGCCGATATTGGCCGTGAGTCGGGAATCGAACTCGGGCCGCCGGGTTCGTAGCGCGCTAAACCGCTACGCCACCACCTCTCCCCATTGTGACACGCAGTCCCGATTAATTCTCTCCTGAATTCATAAGCGTCGTCATCAATCAGCATCAGCAGCAGTAGCAGCAGCCGTGTTCAATCCACCACTGGACGAGGGCCCGACCCAAACCTCTCACGACCCTGCGATACAGAGGTCGCAACCGGGTACCCGATACCCGTACCCTACCCGATACCCGGCTACTCGTACCCGGCCAGGTACGGGTGTACGGGTACCCGTTTGTGACCCTGGTGCGGTCGGGTACGGGTAGGCCGTGAGTCACTGGTGAGTAACTGTTTGTCACTCATTTCGGGTAGGGTACGGGTATGGGTAGGGTACGGGTACCCATTTGCGACCCTGGTGCGGCCGGGTACGGGTAAGAAATCAAAACCCACTATGAGATCTCTTTTACCAGTGGCAAAATATAATAGTAGGTTTTTACCCTTTTAAACTGGTACAATAAAGGTGTCAGTTTTGTACCAGTTTAAAAGGGTAAAAACCTACTAATATGAATCAAAACCCGTTTGTGACCTCTGCTGCGATGTTACAATTCCAACTCGCCCCGTCACCCGCTAAGCGCGATCTGATCTCATCGCTTCCATCTCCCTCGCTGGAGTGCTCTCGGACGCGATGTTTTTCCCTTGCCTCCCCCTCCCACGCATCCCTCGGTGTTTTTTGTTGTTAAAATATTACCGCGTGTAGCATTTAATTCACTTACTAGCCACCGTGTTCCCCTTTTGCACTCCCGGCGTCACGGGCCGCCCGCGATACACGAAGAATCCCCGAGGGAAATCTCATGCGGCAATTGTGAGGTGGAATTGCTGTGGGAAAAGATTTTTGAAGTAACTGCTCCCCATAAATAACACTGGTCAACACACTTTCTCTGGCATAAGGTATTCCAACGGTTTTAAGGTAATTTTGGGGTGCTGATTCCAAATCTGGCATCAGTTTTTGTCTATCACATCAGGATTTTGAAATATCAAATATAGCATTTTCAATCAAAACTGCAGAAGAGAAATATTAAATAAATGTGGATATCTACATAAAATTATATTATAAACACACTATCTTAAAAATACAGCACCATATTTTAACACTAAAGCAGTCACTGACTCGCAACAACTTGCAATCATAAGTGACAGGGTTAATTTCGGGTAAAATCAATGAAAATGGGGTATGCCGATAGCATAAAAATGAGATGTGATAGAGCAAATCTGAGATCAGATTTGGAATCAGCACCCTGAAGAAATTAGTCTAAAACAGCTGCAAAAGTCCAGGCAAGAAAAAAATGTTTGTTTTTTTTTGTTGACCATTGTAATTTTTTGCTAAATCTTCAACTGAAATCGGGGCAATTTTTTTGTTTGGTGATTAACTTGACTGGAGTCAGAATTTTTTGGGCTGTCAACATTTTTTGTGTTGTTTTCCCAGTCGTACTCCCAGTGTTACGTCAAGAGACACAGAATCCGTTTGGCACTTTAACAGACCATTCTGGACCCCCGTGTGTGTGCCCCACCGACTGTGCAGTGGATTTTTCCAAAATCGTACAAATTGATTTTTTTGTTGCTAAACGGCAAAGATGGCAATTGCCCACATACTCTACTACGAGATCGATGTCTGTCGCACGACGGTCAACCTGACATTTGAATTTACCTACCCTGGAATTGAACTAAATTAAGTGAATCCCCATTTAAATGTTTTAGATATAAAAATTATTATTACTTGATTGGGCTTTGAAGCATTGGCTACCCACACTTGAGAACCCTGCTTTACCCATGGGAGGCTGAAAGCCATGTTTAAACCCATGTTCTCACCAGCGCCAGTTCAGCGGTGGGAATGCCATCAACCGCTGGCTGATGATGCTGTTGCTGCTGCTGATGCACGTGACTATGGGGAGCGGTGGTGTAGCGGTTAGCGCGCTGCACTGCAAATCCAGCGACTCGAGTTCGATTCCCGCTCGCGGCCAACACCAGTGACGATTATCTGAGCCGGTCCTGGGCTTCCCCTAGGTCGACTCGGCCTCAAACGAGTACCTGGTGCGGTGTGTAGTAAACATCGCCACTAGGGGAGACAAAGGCGGCCAGGCAAGGTGCTGGCCACCCACCCCCTCGTGTGCCGTGCCGGCCGTCATAGGTGCTACTCGCAAACAGCACTTGCCCAAACAGTCTGTCTTTCTGATGCACATGCCCCACTTTCCATGTAACATCTTGAGATGCAGTTACATTGAGATTTTCGAGAAATGCATTGTCATTGCATTGAGTGGCTATGGAATACACTCACCTCTCCGTTGCAGAAGCAGTAGATGATAGCCACAAAGAATCCCTGTTGAGTTTGTGAGAGAGAGAGACACGAGAGAGAAAGACAAAGAGAGAGGACATATTGGCAAAGAAAATCAATCATGTGTCGATACATAAAGTCACTTTTCTTAGCACCTCAAACTTCACATCTATTGGAGAGCCCTGCCACTGCGCGTGAAGGTTCGGCACGCCACGATTCATCCCGGGGAGAAATGTTCACAGCGTGTGATGAAACAACATTATTTCGTTAATTGTCGGGGTTAGAATTTTATCAAGATTAAATGCACTAGCAAGAAGTCATTAGTGACCGAGCTGACACACCAGCCCCTTGCCGTGATTCAGAACCCACTTGAATGTTCATGGCATGACACCCAATCTGATATATACAGGGCGCTTCAAAAAAACATTAACACTCACATGGGACTATCGTTTTTAATGGAAAAAGAACGGATAATAGAATGTAACATGACAACAAATGTAATGCTAATAGCTTCAAAAAGTCAAAAAGTCTCCACTTGTTGGCCATCATGTGCCTGGAATCTTCTCCAGGTGGTCTCCAGAGCCCGGAGGCACATTTATTGTGGCGTTGTTGGAAATTCTGAGAAGTGTTAAAAATAATTGTAAGCACCCTGCATATAATTGAGTGGGACATCTGTGAATGATAGCACTTTGTAGCTCGTCGGATTTCTCCAGGATATATAAACATTCTTGATTCCGATCATTGTCGGAGATAGAATGTATCAATGCAGTGCAAAAAACAACGAGTTTAATACATCTGTGAATGATAGAGCTTTGTAGCTTGTCGGATTTCTCCAGGATATATAAACATTCTTGATTCCGATCATTGTCGGAGATAGAATGTATCAATGCAGTGCAAAAAACAACGAGTTTAATACATCTGTGAATGATAGAGCTTTGTAGCTCGTCGGATTCTTCCAGGATATATAAACATTCTTGATTCCGATCATTGTCGGAGATAGAATGTATCAATGCAGTGCAAAAAACAACGAGTTTAATACATTTGGGTTTCTTTTGTGCAGGCCTTGGTGACCGGGCTGAGACAGAGCCTGATAAACTGGCCCACGAGCATGCCTCTGTCTTCTCTTCCAAACTACGGATTGCATATTGAGGGCGGTAACTATCTTGGTGTGTCTGTGTTTTACATTAAAAAAAGCGCCGTTATCAACGCTCTTAACACTGCGTTATTTATTCTGACGAGTACCGCGTCTGGTGGAAAGTTCCGATTTTATGAGGCTCTGGGCCGAGATCATCGCGGGCCGACCGCCCTCAACGAGAGCCATCGAGTCCCATCAACTCGCTACACAGGAGAGCCACGTTTTTTTTTTAATCAAAGACATTTGCCCAGATTCGAACTCTCAGAGGTGGCAGCTGAGAGCTCTGACCTCTGAACCCCTGGGCATCTCTTTTGCGTCGTGAGCAGCGGTCGGGAAAACCCGCGGCTCTTTAAGGACTGTTTTGTGACGGTTATTTATTAAGGACGACTGTCTCGCATTCACCACAGTGGCATTGTGGCTCTTGAAATAGAGTTGTCGTTTTTTTTACCGCACAGAACTCGAACAAAAAATACCTCTTCTTGTTGTTTTGGTATGCCGAGCCCTGGTTACGAGCTTTAGAATCGGTAAAAAAGAAATACAAAGGCAACTAAAAGCGGGGATTAAAATAGGAATTTGTTTTGTGACGCTGCCTTGGCAGTAAATGCGTGAAGCACAAATAACCACAAAATTACAACAAAATGACTCAACACGTTCTTCGATAATAACACAGTGGCCGAAAATGTAATACAACAACAAAAATCCTTTTAGGTCAGTGTTATTGACGAAAGTGTTGAGTATTCCATACACGTCAAAATTATTTAGTGACTTATTTGTGGAATTATCACGCAGAGATCGTACACTTCTTGCACCTTTACTCGCGTCTGATACTAAGGCCCCTTTCTCCCTGCGTGCACAAAGTCCAATTCACAAGGCTCCACTCACAAGGCCCCCAACTCACAAGGTCCCCCACTAGAAAGGTCTCATACAAGCCCCCCCCCCCCCCACTAACAAGGCCCCACTTACAAGGCCCCCACTCACAAGGCCCCCCATTCACAAGACCCCCCATTTACAAGGCCCCCCACAAACAAGGCCCCACTCACAAGGCGCCGCTAACAAGGCCCCCAACTCACAAGGCCCCCAATTAACAAGGCCCCAATTAACAAGGCCCCGCTAACAAGGCCCCACTAACTAGGCCCCCAACTCACAAGGCCCCCCACGAACAAGGCCCCCCAGTAACAAGGCTTCCCGCTAACAAGGCCCCCCACGAACAAGGCCCCACTCACAAGGCGCCGCTAACAAGGCCCCCAACTCACAAGGCCCCCAATTAACAAGGCCCCCAATTAACAAGGTCCCGCTAACAAGGCCCCACTCACAAGGTCGCAAACTCACAAGACCCCCAACTCACAAGGCCCCCAATTAATAAGTTCCCGCTAACAAAGCCCCACTAACAAGGCCCCGCAACTCACAAGGTACCCCAATTAACAAGGCCCCGCTAACAGGGCCCCACTAACTAGGCTCCCAACTCACAAGGCCCCCCACTAACAAGGCCCCCCACGAATAAGGCCCCACTCACAAGGCCGCCAACTCACAAGGCCCCACACTAACAAGGCCGCCAACTCACAAGGCCCCACTAACTAGGCACCACGAACAAGGGCCCCAACTCACAACGCCCCCCACTCAGTGCAGAGGCCGAGATGGGAAAGGGCAAAATGGCGTGAGGCCGTGGGCCCAAGGGGGCCGCGGGAGCTCACGACAGCGCCAGCTCCAGAAATGGAAGCAGCGACAACAAAAACGACGACACAGAAAACCACTGCAGGTCGCTGTGATGAGCACAATCACAGCTAGTGGCGGAAACTCCACATCCTTTATGCAGGGACGAGTCTATCCATAGGAGAGCCACTCTTGACTCCCCCGGACGCTGGTGCTCTACTAAACGTATCGGCCCCAGGAGGGATAATGGGCCGAGTCAACGCACCCCGACTAGGAGTTCAACTGGCAACCATCTGGCAACCTTCCGATTGTGAGCCGCTTGCTCTACCGTTCAGCCACTGCCCACTTCCCCCCGTCCTAGCTCCACATCTCCCTATCCTAGCGTCCATACAACGCTCCCCTCCCCCTACCCCCCTCCCTTGCCCCCCCCCCCTCTCTTACCTATATAACCTCCTACCATGGCAACTCTCTCTCCCACTTCAACAAAAATGTTCTTGCTGTGGTTTTTCCATCTGATGATGATTGCTTGTGCTGCGATCGAAACGTCGTGATTTAATTTATTTTATTTTATACTTACGTGACTTTACCGACAGAACCAAAGAGTATGGAACATTGCAATCACGAAAACTTAAAATCTAGATTGAGTGCATGAGCTTAGAGCAGATGTGTCACTCGCGTCGGTACCAACGTGCCTGCGGGTGCGAATCGCTTCATGTGGTCAACAACAGTTGAATTTGTGTGAAAGGACATTTGAAACGAGTAGCGGGTTAGCAGGTGACCCCCACCCTGCTTTGCCGTATAAATCAATGTTCTTCACTCATTTTCAGGGGGGGGGGGAGGTAGCACTTTCGCTGATAAGACATCATCATGATGATAATGATGGGAGGTGATTTAACGATTTGTGTATTGTCGGGGGCCACGCGTCAGTGGACCACACTAAAAGGTCACCAGGGGGCTGCCAGTGACCTCCGAGTCTTGCCAAGAAGAACACTGGTATAAATAAATTGGCTGCGAGTTATATTGGCTGCATGGGGTGGTGCGCTACCCACTTCTTGTCCGGGGGCCCGCAGAGACCCTTACCGGCGCCACAATGACGAGATGTTGACTACCTCGCCTGAGATGCAGGAGGTCGTGGGTTCGATCACGATCATGACGCCTGCTGCTGTATATTTGGAGTTTGCGTGTCTCTCTCTCCGTGGTCGCGTGGATTTTTCTCCGGGTCCTCCGGTTTTTCTCTCCGCATTTAGAATCAACAACGTGCGTTTAGAGTATTTGGCTGCTATAAATTCCCACGTGATGATGATGATGACGTTGACGATAAGCCACTTCGTTGAGCTATCATTTGCGATGGCCACGTCGCTTATAAAACAATAGCGGCTTAGTGGCCCCTAACCTTGTAGAGTAAAAAAAAAAATCGATATATTTTTTAGATAATTGCATACCGGTTTTGTTGAACGTGCGTATCTCACCTGAAAGGAGTTGAGAAACAAATCGACGTACATGCGGATCTCCCACGCTACGCCACCAATACTGTCGGGGATGCCCACAAAGGCTACGTAGTGCACGCCAAACACGACTGTTAGCACCAGCGTCGACTTGGCCAGTTTGCTTGAGGCGGCACAGCGAACGTGGGTTAGAGGCGCGGTGGCGGTGGCGGCGGCGGTGGTGGTGGCGATGGTGGTGGCGGTGGAGGAGGAGGGGAGGGGAAGGGAGGGGGGCACATAGTTAGACATGCAAAGCACCACGGCCGGGGATGATTGGCAACGCAAGCAGTGCAAGCTGGGCAGCGGAGGAGGGGGGGTTAGAGGCATGGACAACGATGGGTGGAAGCGAGCGAGTCACTCCGTGCCAAATGAAAGGGCGACGGCGCTTCGAAGGGGTTACTTGCGCGGAGGTGTGCGCGCGTGCGTTAGCATCGGTGTGTGCGGCGAGCGGCGTAGTGGGGCACAGCAGGGGTGCATCTACCGGTCATCTCAGTCAGCCAACCTATAGCACCTGCTGGGTCTGTCCCGAGACCTCCTCATGCACCTTGCCTGGCACAGTAGGGGGTACAGCTGGTGGTGCATCTACCGGGCATCTCAGTCAGCCAACCCATGGCACCTGCTGGGTCTGTCCCGAGACCTCCTCCTGCACCTAGCCTGGCACAGTAGGGGGTACAGCTGGTGGTGCATCTACCGGTCATCTCAGTCAGTCAACCCATGGCACCTGCTGGGTCTGTCCCGAGACCTCCTCATGCACCTAGCCTGGCACAGTAGGGGGTACAGCTGGTGGTGCATCTACCGGTCATCTCAGTCAGAAAACCCATGGCACCTGCTGGGTCTGTCCCGAGACCTCCTCCTGCACCTAGCCTGGCACAGTAGGGGGTACAGCTGGTGGTGCATCTACCGGTCATCTCAGTCAGAAAACCCATGGCACCTGCTGGGTCTGTCCCGAGACCTCCTCCTGCACCTAGCCTGGCACAGTAGGGGGTACAGCTGGTGGTGCATCTACCGGTCATCTCAGTCAGCCAACCTATAGCACCTTCTGGGTCTGTCCCGAGACCTCCTCATGCACCTAGCCTGGCACAGTAGGGGGGTACAGCTGGTGGTGCATCTACCGGTCATCTCCGTCAGCCAACCCATGGCACCTGCAGGGTCTGTCCCGAGACTTCCTCCTGCACCTAGCCTGGCACAGTAGGGGGTACAGCTGGTGGTGCATCTGCCGGTCATCTCAGTCAGCCAACCTATGGCACATGCTGGGTCAGTCCTGAGACCGCCTCCTGCACCTAGCCTGGCACAGCAGGGGTACAGCTGGTGGTGCATCTGCCGGACATCTCAGTCAGCCAACCCATGGCACCTGCAGGGTCTGTCCCGTGATCTACTCTCAGCGAGCCTACGACACTTCACGTGACGGCCTCAAAGTGCACCTAGCCTGGCACAAGTGAATGGCTTGTATTGGTATTGGACCAGTAGTGCAAGCGGTTGGCGCACCCCGCCACGAACCCGGCCACCCGAGTTCGATTCCCCGCTCACGGCCACCAACATCGGTGACGATTTTCCGAACCGGTCCTTGGACTCGCCTATGTCTACTCAGCCTCAAATGAGTACCTGGCGCGAAGTGCGGTAAGCATCGCCACTGGGGAGACAAAGGCGGTCGGGCGTGGTGCTGGTCACCCCACCCCCTCGTGTACCGTGCCAGCCTTCATAGGAGCTCGCTAAAAGCACTTGCCCCAACAGTCTGTTAAGGCTACACGGGGTGCTTTGTATAAATGTGCGTACGGTAAATGCATGAGCTTCTATAATCCTGGTGACAAGCCCGCTAAGCCGCTTTAGATGAAGCCACCAAGGTGGAAATAAAAGACTATTCATAAACAAGGGTTCTTGTTTATTCCTAAAGCTTCGGGGGTGATGGAATATATTGTTTATTGCATCATTCGTACTTGGGAAGAATATCACCCACCACACCTGTAATGAAAAACGTCTTTATCATTGCCATAAGTGCATGAGTTTCACAACTTTAGCATATTACCGTATTCTCCAGATTATAAGACGCACTTTACCCACCCTGTATTTTAAAGTATAATTTGCGGCTGCGTCTTGTAATCCGGTAGATCTGTGAGATCTGCAGCTAGATTTGTATGACTTGATTAATATCGGGCAAAGATTTGACTTTGTTGAAAGCGTCTTCCTTCTTATACTCACAAGAATACGGTAATTAGCACGGCCAGCCTTTTCTCACTTACCAACCACGAAGGCTTTAACAACAACAATGAGAAATATGTTGAATTTATACGCACACTTAATAATATGCCCAAGTTAAAATTGTCAACGGTATCGTTGTTGTTGCTGTGCTTGGGTTACTTAAAATTAAACATAAGCATCAGGAAGCTTCGTAAAAACAACAACAACACGTTTATAAAAAAAAAAGTTTAACAGGGAGTAGTGCTTTCGCAACCAATAAATATAATAGAGGTTTATATTCATAGAGGTTTGCATTATCCATAATAGAGGTTTGTTGGGTTATAGCGCGTAAATATGAACGTGTCGCTAAACCCGCCACCACCACCACCAATTATTTAAAGGTTTGTCAGATAAACAACACATGCCAATTCGCTACAAGTACAGCACACCGGTTGTGTGTTGCATAATAAACCCGCCACAACATTTTACAATTCGAGTACGACGTTTCAGCCCGTAACTACAACCAGCATCATCAGGCGACGGCCAGAGTTGTGGAGAAATCCTGTTTCGGTTTTACACGTGTTATTCTTTGGTTCTTTCGGTTAAGTCACGTCTAAAGATAAAATAATAAATTAAAATAATAGCAAATTACGACGTTTCGATTGCAACACAAGCAATCATCATCAGGCATAAAAGAAATATCTATATTTAAGGGACCGTCACAGAAACGACCCCTCTCTTTGTGCCGATATGTGTCCTCTCTCTGTGTGTCCTTGTGATGTCTGTCTGCTTGTATGTCTGTCTATAGTTTTCTAGTTAGATTTTTGTTGCTATTTCTTTTATGCCTGATGATTGCTTGTGTTGCAGTCGAAACGTCGTGAGAATTTTATTGTTTTATATTTTTATTATTTTATTGTTTCCCTTCTATGTGACTTTACCGAAAGAACCAAGAATATTTGTCTATTGTCAACGTGACACTTTTTTTACTCTTTGGCCGTGTCGGGTAGTGGAGGAATTTTTCGATTTAAAGCTTTCGTGACTGCAGGGATTCATCTTCTTGGTTCTTTCGGTAAGTAGTGATTAATCCCATATCTGCATTTTCCATAAATATGCTAAATTCATATTGATATGCAAATTCCTTTGTCAAGGCGCCCTTCTCCCTCTAACCCAGCTTAAATATACGCTGCCAAGCTTTGTGGTGCTCAATCAGACGCTGTCTTTCCGACAGACCTGTTCTTCACCTGAGGACGGCTGCTTGCGTTGTGGCCGAAACATCGTGAGAATTGTATTTTATTATGTTTTATTTTTATTATTTTATTATTTCCATTCTACGTGACTTTACCGAAAGAACCAAGAAGGGTGGTGGAGGGTTACGACACATTTATAAATAACGCGATCTCACCCAAAAAACTTTATCATTAATAATATTGGTCGCGAAGGCCTGCTCCGTGTTAATCTTCCAACTCTTAGGTGTTTTCGGTAAAGTCACGTAGGTAAAAATTTATAAAAAATATAATAGAAATAATAATAGAAAAAAATAATAAATCACGACGTTTCGGAGGCAGCACAAGTCTCCGTCATCAGGTGGCGATGCTTTTACACACCGCACCAGGTACTCGTTTGAGGCTGGGGAGGCCCAGGACCGGTTGAGATAAATGAATCGTCACCAGGTGTTCGGTGGCCGGGAACGGGAATCGAACTCGAAGTCGCTGGCTTCGTAGCGCAGCGCGCTAACCGCTGCACCACCGCTCCCCACTAAACACACGCTGACAAAGATCCCCCGTATAGCCTTAACAGACTGTAGGGGCAAGTGCTGTTAGCGAGCACCTATGAAGGCCGGAACGGTACACGAGGGGGTGGGTGGCCAGCACCACGCCCGACCGCCTTTGTCTCCCCAGTGGCGATGTTTACACACCACACCAGGTACTCGTTTCAGGCTGAGTCGACTTAGGGGAGGCCCAGGACCGGTTCAGATAATCGTCACTGGTGTTGGCCGTGAGCGGGAATCGAACCCGGGTCGCTAGGTTCATAGCGCAGCGCGCTAAACCGCTGCACCACCGCTCACCACTAAACACACGCTGACATACACACACACACACGCAAGGCCGAACTCGCCCACACACGATGAGCGCGGTGGCTTGCTGTGGTGTGAGCGGCGTGCAAGCGTGGGGCGCGTGCGAGAGCAAGCGAGCGAGCGAACGAGGGAGGGACAGAGAGAGAGAGAGAGTGTGAGGGGAGGAGGGAGAAGGCGAGCGACGAGTACCTTGAAGAAGTTGAAAGAGACACGAAAACTCCAAATATACAGCAGCAGGCGTCAGTGTCGGAATCTGACTGCACGACCTCCTGTATACCAGGCGAGGTAGTTAACATATCATAGCCACCGTGATGATGTTGATGATGAGAGAGACACGAAAACTCCAAATATACAGCAGCAGGCGTCAGTGTCGGAATCTGACTGCACGACCTCCTGTATACCAGGCGAGGTAGTTAACATATCATAGCCACCGTGATGATGTTGATGATGAGAGAGACACGAAAACTCCAAATATACAGCAGCAGGCATCAGGGTCGGAATCTGACTGCACGACCTCCTGTATACCAGGCGAGGTAGATAACATCTCCTAGCCACCGTGATGATGATGATGATGAGAGGGACACCGCAAACTTCAAATATACAGCAGCAGGCGTCAGGGTCGGAATCTGACTGCACGACCTCCTGTATACCAGGCGAGGTAGTTAACATCTCCTAGCCACCGTGATGATGATGATGATGAGAGGGACACCGCAAACTCCAAATATACAGCAGCAGGTGTCAGGGTCGGAATCTAACTGCACGACCTCCTGTATACCAGGCGAGGTAGTTAACATCTCCTAGCCACCGTGATGATGTTGATGATGATGATGAGAGGGACACCGCAAACTCCAAATATACAGCAGCAGGCGTCAGGG